TACCACGTCGAGGTGGTGGCACCTTTGCCGACGGCGTCTGCAAGTTTGCGTCATGCAGACGACGCCGGGGAAATGGGTCTTTCAACCATCATTTGTGGTTTCTTTGAAAGAATTGTATTTTTTTCATTGTTGCCGTCCATCCTCTTTTCCGCGGTGTTTTGTTGCCCTTTATAAATGATGCTAATTTATGCTGTTTTCAGGTGGCCCTTAGGGGCTCGGGCCACCTTAGAGGAGCCCTTATACCTATTAAGTTCGGCAATGTGAGTTTTTTCTTTGTGTACCCGTGGTACAGGTACAAATGGATACGTGGAAGCCAACCTCTCAAATTTGTTGCTATCGAGAGTAAGTTTTATTCTTCCTTGTATAAAAAAGCTGGAATAGAGTCATTTCAGAAACATGCCGAGTACAACGGCGAAACTGACTTGCGCAGGGCAGAGGGGTGAAATCAATCGCGCTCCTAATGAGGAACTTCTACAACATCAACGAAAAAGGATCACTGAGATGGATTGTGCGGAATCCGAAATGTTGATGGAGGAAAAGGTGTGATTTTGGCTTATGATTTCTACTTTTTATTGGCGTTTTTTTTTCGTGCCAGTTGGTGGCTGCTATGCGCTATTTTTAAGTAACTATCTCAAATTAACGTAGGATTTTCATCTATGGAAAAGGCTGAAATACCTGAAATACTACACCTTTCGCCAACAAATTTAAAAGTTATATCCGAAAGTGCTTCCACTTTGGCCAAATTCTTTCACTATACGTGACAAGTATGAAAGCAAGCTGAAACAGATTCAGTCTGAAGTGCTGGCTTCACATCCTGGTCCATCTTCTGGTATATCGCAACAGGTGCGCGCCTGTCGATTTGAAAACAAAAAATTTCGTTTTACAGATGAGAGATGAGTTTGCTGTTGTTTTGGAGAAAGTTGAGACTACAACAGATCAGAAAATGATGCTTCAGAAAGAGTTGGAGCAAGCAAGAACCGACATGGCTGAGTTGCAGCGAGAGGTAAATCTTTTTTTTTATTGTTTTGACTTGTTTTTGATTTTGGTTTGTTCTGTTCTTTCGATCAAATTTTTTGCATACTAACTTGGTTCGTATATCCTGTGTTGTTTATCTTTCTATTTTTTCAGTGAATTCAAATCATTGAACACATCTAACACGTTGTAGGACTATCCAAAGCAAATTTCTGAGGAGGAGATACGGCCAGTGATGAAGAAAGCACCTCCATCACCACGGGAATATTGTGATTGTTGTCAAGGTGAGTTCAGGAAGTTTTTTTTGTTTTTGCTATACGCTTTCTGCTTCATTCTGAATTGCATATGTTATTTTGGCAGTCCAGGAAAGTCTATGTATTTGAGGCAGATGCTGATGCATACGAATCGTTCCTGATTTAGTAATAT